AAATCTCACTGCTTTTCGGTGGTGAAGGAGCTTGAACACACACTGAGGCTTCAATCCTCACATGGATAATATCTTTGGGAGTCTGGGTCCAAATATTAAGATCATATTTTACCAAAATGGCTTTTGATTTTTATTTTTTGTTTGAATACTAAACCAAAATAATTTCAAAGCCTGTTCAGTGTCAGTGCATGCTGGACTCTGCTGCTTTTGTTCCTCACATTTGTGGAGTGAAATAGTGACCATTTTCTTTGGAATCTGAAGCTTAACACTGAGCAGTGTGTCCAGGCAGCTGCTGACCAGTGCACAACTTTGTGGAGCCCATCTGCAGCACTGTGCTGTACCCAAGTCAGCCGTCTCTTGGGGCCTCACATGAAGACCTCATGTGCAGTCTCCTGCTGGGGTTTCTCCACCAGCATCTGGTGTTTGCCCCAGGATAATGCAGGCAAAATATTGCCCCATGACACAAAAATGATTTGCTCCTTCACCGATGGATATTGTGCTATAATGGATAAAGCTGTTCAAATGTAATGGAAATTGCTGATCAGCAAGACTGTCCAGGGTAGCATCCCACTTCTGTGTTTGGGAACAGGAGGGAGTGTAAGTCTGGATGGGTATGGGGGAGGGCTATAGGGGCTGTAGGTTTGTGTAGTTATGTCTTGTCCATCAGAGTGTTCTGGTACCATAGACGTACCTCTGAAATAGACATAACTCCAAAAACTTCCCTAGTGTAGTGGTCTGGCCAACAAACACATTTAATATTGCTTCTGTTCTATCAGAAAACAAGAAGGAGTTAACCCAAGTGCTGTCATCATCATAAATACAGCTTGGAGAGGGAGGCAGCTAAGTCACTAATCTGTTCTGAATTCAGCCTGGTGATGCAGAGAGAAAAGAGTGTGTGGCCAAGAAGAAAAACACTGTGTATATCAAAACACACACGAAGAAAATTAGCTTGAGAATGGGAGATGCTGAACATAAAGAGAAGAAAGCAAGCGAATAGAACCAAAGATGACAAAAATAAACAGCCACAGCCAGACTCAGATGCTCTCTCTCCCATTAGAGATGACTTAACCAACATGCATTGCCTCACTGGAAAGGTATGCAGGCAGGTGTGACTCAGGATCAGTCCAAATGTAGCTTGTTGTTCTACCCAAGGTGAACATTAAAATATAGAAGTAAATAACTGTATTTTGTACCTGAATTAGTAATTGCAAGGGACTGATTCCAACATGCCTTAGGGATTTAGCCATGGAAATCCCACTGACCTTCAGTAGTGCTTATGCACCTACATTCCTTAGGCGCTTTAGAAAATCTGTCTGTATGTACTGGGCTCAAGGGAAAAGTCCACTGCTATTATTATAATGTGACTATGATTTTAAGATGCTGTAATGTACTCAATTTTATACAAATTTACACAGTAGTATTTGTCAGGTCAGGGTTGTTGCCATCAAAGCGTAAGGTTCAAATGGGTGCGAATTACTGAGACTTAACATTGTACTTTGAATTATGTCTTTTTATACTTACATGAGAGTGAGCTTTCTGAATCACATCTGGTTTTTGTGCTGTTTACAAACTGCTCCAAAAAGCTGAGCTGAGAATATTTGCAGTTAGTTCAGTATGTCAAACAGAGGAATAGAATTTAGCTCTATTCTTAAACCATGATTATTTATGTAGCAGGCATGTTGGCCAACAAAAAGAATGAAAGCTGACGGGCATGAAAATAACCAGTCTGCTCGTACATGAGGCTTGCTTGCAGTGGTCCCAGCAGGAGCTTGAAGAGGACTGTGTAAATTGTGAAACAAAGAGTGCATAGTTAATACATGCCAGAGATGACCATTTGTGGGGCTACTTAATGCTACAAATCCCACATGGTGGTGAGGCTGTGAAAGGGCAGAAAGAAAGCTACAGGAGCATTCCCCCATGCTTTGGGAATATGTGACTATTGGCACTGAGTGTGGGCTCATACACCAAGTTACCAGTTTAACCTAAAAATGCAGAATAAGTATAAGAAGACATGTAGCTGTTTGGATTGTGCACATCCAAAGATAAATTAGGGGAAGATTAAAACAAATTACAGTTGTGAAATGAGGTAATCAGAAGTGTGAATGTGTCAGTGTTGTGACAGCCACATGCCATAATCTGCTGCTTAGAGGCATACCCACTGGCACACGTACTGTGAGAACTATTATACGAAAACATATAATGGTTTTCCATGGGGTACCTACCTCATTTATTGAATTACCATCATTTCTGGATGAGACAGACCATCAATGATTAGTTTTAACCTTCTTTTCTTAAGAAATGAATCTTTTGTTATTTTCTGCTGGCCAGCCCTCTCTCTAATGACTTTAAATCTATTGGACAATCTAATCTAAACTTGATGCGGGGAAGAGGAGATAAAGTGCATCCTCAGAACCTCACTAAGTTGGCTCAACAAGCATATTAGACATCAGTGAATCACTCACTCAGAGTGGAACAGATTCAGGTAATCCTACATAGTTAATGCTACATTTCACAGTCTGTTTGGGTTTGTCACTCATAGTGCTCCTCATACACAGTCCCAGCAACAGGCATTCAGCAGAGAAAGAATTTTCACAGTGCCGTGGACTTTCTTCGGCAACCACTACTCTATCAATGGAGTACCTTGCAAATACAAAGTAAGCTTTACAATGATAAAGGGAAAGATAAATGTTATTATCTGCATGCTATGGAAGAGGATCTAAGTCTCCAATTTTGGCTACTTCAATAGTTATTTGTATAAAACGGGACAATTAGATTTTTCTGATGTGCCAAGCACTGGCCATTCTCAGACAGAGCTGGGACAACTCAGAACCACTGACAAGACCATCCATCCCATGGACTCAGAGATGCAGGTCTTGCAGTACTGCTCTTTTGCCCTGCTGTGTTGTATGAGTGTGTGTCTGCTAGAAATGTGCTGTTTTGTGTGGCTTACCTCACTCCTTGTAAACTCTACATAATGCAGTGAACTCAGCTGAGGCTGGAAACTCAAGAAATAGGGAATATATTACTGCATTTTCAACACAGAGTGGAAATTGTGGAAAGGTGAGAGTTTTGGCACTGAGAGCGTGAAGAACAGCTTACTCCACTTAATAGCAAGCCAGGATGAGAAGCATTTTGTCCGTTGTCAGTACCTCACAGTGCCTCTTCTCTCCCTCCCATCCACCTTTCTCAAACTCACATTCCTGAATCCCTGCAAACTCCTCATCTTCCAAGATCCATCTCACAATGCTAAGGCAGGCTGATGGAATAAAGCAGAACTTTGTCCTTTGGGACCTTTGTTTCTCTTATCTTTCTTTCCTCTTCTTTTATTTTTTTTCTGTTTTCCCCATGGGAAAGAATCTTTGTGCCAAATATTTCTCAGGCTTCTCTAATGGGCTTGTCTAAAAGGGAAAGGAAAAAGGAATAAAAGAGACAAAGCATGAAAACTTTTGCAAAGATGAAAACATGAGGGTATTTATAACACTAAAAATAAGGTAGGATGAACCAAAGGATCACTCTGGAACACCTTGATGGTATGGCCATCTCCTTGGTGTCATTGGTTATTAATTTATGGAAGATTTTATGGGAACAGGATGCAAAATATTTCTCATATTTTGGCTACTTCTATTTAACCTGTCAGCTCAAAACTACCAAGATTTATGAAGTAATTTCTAATTGGTGTAATTCACTTATATATACCATAGGATCATCTATAAAATCTACTCAAAGATATATAATATATAAAATCTTAATCCAAATAGGCAGTTGGAAGCTGCAGTATGAAGCTTATCTGTCCTGTTTCTTATACAGGAAACCTTCTGTTATAAGATTATTTTCATTGCCTATATAGCATTCTGTCACACACAGACTCAAATCAGCAACCTTGTTTAAAGTATAATTCTGTATAAAGTGGAAAAAGGAGAAAGAAGACTGCAAATATTTTGCTAATATGTTGAGGAAACTGAAACTCTTATTTTAAAGCTGATACTGAGCTATTTCAGGTTTTAGATATACATAACATTATGCAGTCAGAATGAAGGTGCCTCATCCCATATTGCAGTGCTCTTGGTATAATTATGTGCAATATCTCATTTAATTTCATAAAATTAATCCAAGAGCAAGACTGCGTGATCTTGTATGGCAACATAACTTTGTATTCATGGCTGATTTTTTCCCCTTAACACAGAAAAATAATGTGGGTTGATGCAGTGTCCTAACACAATAGGGGCTAATGAATAGAGCTTGCTGCACTCAAGAGACTGCAGTTCAATTACTAGTGGTGCCAATCAAGTCAGAAATATTAACCATGGTAACAGCAGATTTGAGTTGCGTGGAAAGAGGCAGTGGCTTCTTGGGGAAGATCGCCTCTTGGGAGGGAAGGGGATGCTCGCAGCAAGAGTTGCAGAAGGCCAGAGAATGCTTCTTTGTGGCGAAGGAGAGCAGTACTCAGCTCATGCTACAGGGAGCTTTGTGCTGTTTGTGTGTGTTTTCATTGCAAGCGTACTTGAGGGGCCGTAACTAGTAAGTGTGACTAACTACGGGGCCCATACTATGTGCAGAACCTATAGAACTGTATTTCCTATGTATAAGTGTGCAACATATTAGTTAATCATGTGAAAGATAAATTTCAATGCAGATTAGGTCCTAAGCAGAAGTAAAACGTTGCTGAAGTCAGTGTGACTGGGCTGAATTACACCAATCGAAGCTGTAGCCTTTTATAAGGATTTACTTAATATAGTGCATTTGTTCTGCTGGCTGATGATCAGAGTGAGGATCCCTTGATTTGATACAATGGCAGTGTTATGTATTAGTAGCATGAACAGGAAGCAGCTGGCGTCCTGTTCAGAAAACAATTTCAGTTTTTATTGCAGAGAACAATATTGAAAAACAGTGTGTGTGTGTGAGGGTCCTAATCCTTAAAAATGCGGGAGTTTGGATATTGTCCCTTTTCATTGACTAGTCACTTCTGGACTAAATCTAGATTTGTCTCTTTTCACAGAAAGCTGTTCTGGTGTTGGTCCGTTGGAATACAGAGAAAACCAGCTAAAGCCCCAAAATGGCTATTTTGCACCTGCCTGCTGCCTCTCCTTCTGTTCCAGCTGGTGAGTATGCTCAGTTGTGGAGTGCTTTTCCCTTTCTCTTATTCATGAAGAGATGGCACATCTTTTTGGTCAGCATCACTGAAACACTTCCTATTCTTTGTCTTGGATGCCATTAAAAAAGCCAGCTGTTAGGGATGGTTACTGTGTTGTGGTGGCTTAGCTCCATTGTTAACTCAAACTTCTGCAAAAATGTAAGAATAGGTTTCTTAATAACTGAAGAGTAATAGCAGCCTATAAGCGAATTTGAATGTGCTTGCAAAGCTGGTGAAAATAATGTGTACTGAAGAATCTGGAATGTATCAGAGAGGTTCCTCTTGTGTAGTTCAGGCTTCCCAGTCCAGTCTTATCACCTTAGGCCCCTCTTGTAGTCAAACACAATGCAATGGTGGGGGGCAAATGAAGTGAAGGCAGGCAAGGCCATTCAGTAACTGAGGCTGCACCCTGAGGAGGATGAATTGTAATTCCACTTTTAACACTAAAATAACAGTAAAGAGTGGCTGAATACTCTGAATGCTTAGTTCAAAGTCTAGGGCATTCGCTTTGGAGAAAAGTGGTTTGGGTTCAAATTGTGTTTAGTGAAGGACAGAACTGAACCAGTCTCATGTGTCTGGGCAGAGCTGTAATTACTAGGAGAGAGTACAAAACCAGAGTGATGGATAGCAGCATTGTCATCATCTAGCTCTCAAACCCTTATTCCAATAGTTCAGTTCAAATCCAGAAATAATTTTGAAATTAAACTTTTTGGCATATGCTGTATATTATTTCACCTGATCTTGATTTGTCATGTAATCACCCCACAGCACCTATTGAGTTGCTAGTAATGTCTGCTTTAGTAGGCAATGTGTGAAAATAGAGGAAACAAAAAGAATTGGAAACTATGCACCCTAAATCCCATCCTTGGCTCTGTTGTCTTTCGTGGAACATGCTGCGTTATCCCAGATCTTCATTCCTTTACTTTCATTTTTTCTTCTTCTCTAAAGAATCTTTATAAAATAATCTCAGCCATTTTGGCAGACCTATAATTGCACTATTCTCTACAGTAAAATTTGCTAATAATTGGTAAGTGAAAAGGCACCATCTCCAAATTTTTCTTCTTTCCCTCCAACAAATGCAGTTAAAAAAATTGTGGTTTTGGATTCCTTCCCCCTCACCTGAGTGGAAGTGTAGGAAAGGAAATCTGTTTAATCTTCATTCTCATGCTTTCTTGATTCACCTGGCAGCTCTTGGGAATTTAGAGGAAAACAGTTCAATAAGGCAGAGGAAAATTACAACCTAAGTTTTATGCAATGTTTTAGGATAAATGAGATTCCACTGTTATTATCCCTCACCATTGCCTCTCCTCAGCTCCTGTCTGCCATATGAAGAAATGTACTCTCTTACTAGCAAAGTATTTGTGGTAGAATATGGATTTAATAACAGGATAAGTTTTATTTCTGACCTAATAACTAACGTTAGTTGAATGATATTCAGACCAGATCTACTAACAACAGTATAGCCTTTGTTTTTAACAATATTGCACTCTCTGTAAAGAAAGAAAATATCTCCATAACAAACAAAAAATCCTAACAGACCAACCAACCAACCAAATAAAAACTGAGGGCCTTGTGTCTAGTATAAGCCTCATAAATTGTTCTTCATGGGCTTTTTTTTCTTATTTAGAAAGGTTAGGACAATAGTTTCCTTTCAGAAAATGTTTGCCATCAAAGAATATGAGCTACTCAGTTATTTCCTTGTCTGAAACCACAATTCTTGATGTCCAATATGATTTCACTGGCCTTTTAAATAATTGCAGGTTACAAGCTATCAATAATGCACATCCTTGTAAAAGGCACAAATCCACTTTAGCTTCTTCCTTTGCATGTCAACATGAGGTTTGTCACAGTCTTGTGTCTGAGTAGTCATTTACAATAGAGTCATGCTAGAATGGCAGCAATACGCTGTGCTTGGTGGAAATATGCAGGAAATATGCAGGGTGTTCCTGTGTATGGAGGTAAGTCATTCTTTTATCAGGTGAAAGTGAATTCTGTGGTATAAACAGAAAAGAACATGAACTTCACAGAGATGATAAACCATAAGCTCAGAGGCTGGTGGAGCCTGACCCTCAGCTGGCATAAAAAGGAAAGAATTGCTGTCTTGAAATCAGCATAAAGAGCCGAAGTGAACATGAGGCAGAGGCAGATTAGAAGAGTGTGGAAATGGGAATTACCTTACTGCTGTGACAGTAATTTACCTGCATTGCAGGTACCCTAGGAAAATAGGATGTCAGAGCCCCATGGGAAGCTGCCCAACTCTAAGAGGGCAATGCAGGGTGCTTACTCGAGCCAGGAGTGGGACATACTAAGGGCTGCCTTTATCTTACCCTCTGGCTTTCAGCTGAAATGTTTTCTGCTCTGGGAGAAAGCCCTTATTTAGCAGGCTAAGTGTTTTCTTGTGTCTTTATCTGACTGGTTCTGGAGGTGACACAGACTTTCCTACCCAGTCTACTGCAGAGGAACTGGGAACAGAAGAGGTCACACGGTAGTCAAAAGGAGGAAAACAGTACAGCAGACACAGACCAGTCAATACATACCAGGAATTTGAAGAAGGTACAAAATGCTTCCATTACCATAGTAATCACAGTTATTAAGACAAGTTTCAACCAGTCTTTCCTGTTTAATAGTTAAGAATGTAATATAAAGGGTAGTGAATTGGATAACAGAAAGCAGATCTCAACACAGAGTAAATGCAATCGGAGATCTATGTGCACGTAGATCTTCCTCATACAGAATATAACCTTGTTAGCAAGGAGAAGATTCCTCAGCACTATTATCCTGCTGAATACAAGGAGTTAGGCTGTTATTTTGTTATATGCTTGACTCGCTTGTTGATCTTTCCAAAACAACAGAACCATGATCCAGGCCTCAGAATCACTCAGTTTGAAGACTTGTGGAGGTGCATAAGTACTAAACTGTTGTAAATGGCAGGGGAATGATTCCTTTTTTAGAAAAGAAATGTGGCTGCCATTATTACTGTTTGTATAACAGTCCTGCAGTTTCTTCACAATTTGTACAGATGTGTTCAATTTCAGTCATTTGCCCTGTCAGTTTTTCTGATACACGGTACATCATTTTCTTTAAGATGCCTAAGTGGTGGTGATTAGTTGTGTGTGATGAATGGACAAGGAAGCTTTACTTTAAAAGGAAGAAATCTATATGTGTTCTATATGTGAAAGTAAAACATAGACTGGCCATTGTAAATTACATGTTGCTGTAGTTCCTGCTTCATGTTATGTTGAAGCACCACAGCCCAAACAACATTCAACATGTGCGATGGCCATAAGATATTAAAGTAGAAGTGGAGAGCCATATATCAGAATGTCAGCATTGGTAACGCTCAGCCAGTTAATCCCCAGCAGCCTCTGGTACAAGTCAGATTACTCTGGAGGTATGTGTGGTGTCTCTCTCTTTTAGCAGGAAGTTGATGTAAGTATGAGCTTTCTAATGTAAAAACAAAAAACAGGGACCGTACTTTAAAAGCACAAGCAATGATGCTGGAATGCTTCAGTTCATTTGGTTGATGAGTTTAAAGTGATGGCTGTTGAAAAGTTTAGCTCTGACATCTCTTAGTGACTCTGCAAAAGAAGAGTAAACCCCGACATGGTTTTCATGTCCTTCAGGGTGCAAGGATCTGGCTGTGAAGAGCATCTGATCACCAGCCTACTCAGACTGGAATATCAGAAGGTTAGAGGGACTTTGGCATTAGCTTCTCAGTCAGTACAACAGAGCTGGTCTAGGGACGGAAATGGCTGCTAGATGCATGTGCTGAGCAACTCCTCATTTCCATTCTGAAAGGTCTCCTATAGTAACAAGTGCTATAAGAACAACTATAGCTTGTAGATAATTTTGGTGGTGATGCAGTTGTACGTTAACACATTGACATATTTCTACGTTGTGCCAATGGAACTGCAAGGGCAACCCATAGTATGGATAAATAACTAAAGAGAGAAGCCAAGCTTTGACAAACTATACCCAGTAATGAAAAGTTCCATCAAGAATTCTGAAGATTCATACAGGATTTGTGTTCCTTTCCTTGGATTGCTTTGCCTTGCTTTGCTTTCCTTTCTGCCAAGAAATCAAGCAATTTAGCAGAGGATGGAATTACAAGATCTAGACTGGAATCACAGAATCTGAGCAAAAGATGTATATGTATATGTGTACACATAGTGCAAGACTAAAATTTATCCCATTAAATAAGGCAGGCTCAGAAGCTGAGAGAAGGAGACAACAAACAAGCCTTCCACTCCTACCTCTCCCAGGAGGTTTCAATGTCTTAAAATAAATGGGGAAGCATCCCAGGACATGTAAGCAGCCAGCTTAGCACTTCCTAAGCACAGAAAAATCTAATATTGCTTCTCCTGAGATGAAGTTGTTGAGTAATTAAACAATATGATCTACTATTATCTAGGTGGATGCTTCCTCTGACATAGCTGATTCCAGAATGTAGATGATGTGGAGCAAATGTCACCAGTTCTGTGTACAACAGATCAGTAGTTTTATAGTCACCAATGACTAGAGGTCAATCAAAAAGATCATGGGAGGTGGCCTGCAGATGAAATCTGGAACTATATTAAGAATTATTTTCAGTATTACCTTCAAGTAGAAGTTTAATTATGAGATTCCAGATTAATTTTGATTACTTTGAATGACAGCAATGACCCATTGGCCTTAAATGCTTGGGAACCAGCTGCTGAAAGGCAGTACATCCCAAAGTGCTGCTGTCCACACCTAGAAACTGACAGATAATTGTGCTGATTTGGGTTAAAAAGTTCATGAATGACCAAGAATAAGGGAAGGCTCTGTATCAGGATTTCTGGTTGTGGAAGAGAGTTAGAAATATGGCAAATGAGGACAAAATCCACTGTTTGAAGGACTGAATACTACTAATAATACTATGTCATCTTGGAAAAATTATGTCACCCTTGGAATCCAAGCAATTAGTCAGTTTTTCTGGCATTGTGACAT